ATATTCGCAGCGACAGAGATTGAAACAATCCGCCAATTAGAATCGTCGACGCGAACGGGATTATGCAGATTCGCGCCGCCCGCCCGGTGGCGAACGGGACTGGCAGCTGCCGCAGCGCGAGCGAGCTTAATTCAATCCGCCGAGTTGTCTTATGAATCGTAAACCGGCCTTCCCTCGCGCGTCACTCCGCACCGCGCCGCGATGAAATCGAGATCGTCAGGATCGCCTCTCGTAGTCTCCACTGCACGGTGACGATAGTGACGACAGTGACGACGGTTGACGACGCGTCGTCGACGTCGGAATGATCCGCGTCTTCCATCGTCTCGCTGATCGCCTCAAGCGGAATAATAATATAACGCCCATGCCGTCTCTCTCTCTCTCTCTCTTTTTCCCTCCCTCCCTCTCTTCCTAGTAAAGTCTCTTTACGATCTTTGGAATAGCTTTCCAGCCAGTACCATTTTCCCTTAAACGAGTATCTGCATGAGAAAAAAATCGTCGATGCTCCCAAGGATTTCCTCTTACAGATTTCCTCCAGGCGAACGCTTCATCTTGTTAGCTCTTTGGCAAATTGAAAATACCTGAAAAAACGCCATCTCATTTTTGTTTTCTTTTTTTTTAGGACAATAAGTAATAAAGTAACCAAAATTTTAATAATCAGAATATTAATAACTTGAATTTTATAATTCGGGATTTTATGAGAGTAGAATTTTTGATAAGTAAAAAGAAACCCAATCTTGTCATCGTGGTTATAACTTTGACATGCATCGCGCAATACGGATGAGCGGAATTATGGCGGCGGCGGCGACGGCGGCAACGGGTATTTATCACGAAGAGTAAAACTGACAGCAGTCCATTTCCCGTTCGTCCTGCCTGTCTGGCTGAACATAATATCTCCTGACGAAACAACGTGGACGCCGTTTGTTTGGGAAACAATGGACCGAAACAATGCCCGATCCCTCTCTCACTCGTTCTCTCTCTCTCTCTCTCTCTCTCTCTCTCTCTCTCTCTCTCTCTGTACACGTGAACGCACGGATACAGATCTTCTCTTTCTCTCTCTTTCTTTGTCTCCCTCTCCCCCTCTTTCTCTCTCTGCTGTCCACGCCCCGTTGTTCTTCGATCTTTTCGCGTTGAAATCTTTTTAGGAATCTCTGTGCCTTTGCGAATCGTCGAAGAAAAATTTCTTCGACGACTGTAGTCACCACACCGTGAGTTTATTTGTCGCAAGAACATAAAATTGAAAAGCCGAATTTCTCCTGAAGATCCGTTGTGTTTCAAAGGACAATTTATCTTTTCCGCTTGCGTATAGACATTGTTTTTATAAAATTCAACAAAAGGTGGTTGATGATACAATAATGGTACAAAAACGTATATCATACATGTGAGGATGACAAAATAATTTTTTAAATAAATCTTTACAGAGATTACAGTACATCTATACATTCTATACTGACATACTGTAGTGCAAGAATTCCAAATTTGCGGAAGAGATTTTCAGCAGATACCGATATCAATTGAAATGTCTGCGTCAACGAATTTACGCAAGAAATTCTCAATAACTTGGCGGAAATCCTCACCCTACACTCGAGTGAAAGCGAACGTGTACTTGACAGAAATTAGTATTCCTTAATGAATGACGCGATATCCGGCTGGTTCATCCCGTCTCACTATAGATTCCGTTCTTCCTTGGTCTTAGACTTGAGGTTGGGAGCCATTCAATTAATTTCACAAGACAATAGTAGCTCACTTCCACATCGGCGAATCGTGCTTGTACGTCGAGTTTCGTACACACTCATTACATCGTTAAACCTGCTATTCCATGTCGTTTGCAGAATATTCGTGTAATCATTTGGAAAATTAAATAAAACATGAATCCGTCTAAGCATCTTATTTAATTCGTCTTTTTACAACTCGTTAAGAATTTTGTTAATCTCTATTATAGAGATAACTAAACGAAACGTACATATATAAAATAATAATAACAATAATAAATAAATATTAAAGCTTATGACGAAGTAACGGAATTAACAACGATATATAAAAAATATGACTATACTAATGGAGTTTGCTGATAGAATTTAATTACGTTCTTCAGAATTAACTTGTATAAATATTCATCGCGAGCATCGCAAAAGTAGAGTACCTATTCAATTTGTGACTGAGATAGCAAAGTGTAAAAGTAAAAAATATGGAGGGGGCGCGATGGTAATTAGATAATTAGATCTGCGACGCTAAATCATCATTTACCTTAGTTAATCTCATTGTCAGTACCTATCCGATGCTGATAATCTAAAGATGCAATTACCAATCTGGAGATTTTTCCATTTCTTTTATCGAAATAGAATAACCAAAATGACGACTACCACGGGCGATCCATCAACCCTAAAGACTCCAGCTTCTCTGTCGGGTGGAGATCTCGTTTCTCGTCTTCTGGCGGCCACTCCTCCGTACCTATACAACGTGCCACTGACACCTCATAGCTTCTTCTTCAGCGAGATGCTACGTTCCTTCGTACAAGCCAAGGCGGAGGCATCGTCGACCGGCGGTGGCGGCGGCGGGGGGGGGGGGGGGGGGGGGGGGGGGGGGGGGGGTGGCGGTGGCTGTGGCGGCGGCGGTGGTGGTGGTGTGGGTAGTGTTGGCAGTGTTGGCAGTGTTGGCGGAAGTACACCAAATGCACCGCGACGCCGTAAGCGATCTTGGCGAGACACACGGGATAGACCACTCGAACTCACGACGAAGGAACGGTCGCATCATCATCATCATCATCATCATTATCACCAGCATTCGGAGAAATACTATCACTCGGCAGCGCAGCAGCAGCCTTCTCAAGTATCGCCGGAGACTCGTTTGGAGAACGATGGCAAGCGACCCGATACCTATTTGGACACGATGGAGAACAAACCCGGCGCGGCATTCGATCAAAAACCTAACTTTGGAAGCGATATAGATATTCTTAAACCCATTGACGAGAATAAGACCGAGTTTTCGCGACAGCACAGTAAGAGCTTCTTCGACGAACGACCGCGACACTTTGAACAGACCCAACCGCCGGAGAACGTTTTTCCTGGCGGAGAAGGTCTTCCGCGTAAGGTCAAGCCGGAGGATTCGCAGCAGTTGGATCGCAGCAGCGGTAGGAGTTACGAGGATCGGTCGAAAAATAGCATCGTGCCGAGTCAGGAGGTGTCCCCTCTGCAATTGTCGGATCAGAAGAAGTTGGACTTTTCACGGGCAGGCCCTTTCCTGCCCGGGATGCCGGGGGGCAGAGGATGCGAGAGCGTACTTCAGGGCGTGAAAGGTTTCGCTCTGCCCAGCAGCATGAGCACCGGCGCCGGTCCGGCAGATTTTCTACCTGGACCCCTGTGGTACCCGCCGTATCCGATGCCGCAGTCCTACCCCGGCATCGATCCTCTACACTTCTTCATAGACTTACGCGTCTCCGGCCATATTTGGGATCGCAAGCACGCGAGCGAACGGCAGCTATCTTTCAAGAGCAAACATTGCTCGGCCTTTAGCGTGCCGCAATCGAAGGAGTGCGGGAATCGCCCGTTGAATCTTACCCGCGACGAGGCCACGACGTCGAAGAATTCGCAGGACGCGGAGAACACGCAGGGTACCAATTATATCTTGAAGCATCTGATGAAGACCTATCAGGACATACAGCAGCTGAAAACCTCCAGGACGGACGCGTCGATAGAGAACGAGGATCATTCGAAGGGAACGCAGCAAAGTAAGATATATATTATTACATCGCTTTTCTTCTACTAACACACACACATATATATAATTTGTTTTATTAATATTATGTCTATAATTAACGAGATTATTTAAATTATTTTCAATTATAATAGATTGCAAATTTTGTTGGTTAATGCTGTTAATACACAATGTCACTTTTTTCGAATTCATGCAGGATTAGTCTGTTTTGAGATATATACCATACATATAATATGAGTGATTTATTTTATAGCATACTTACTTAATAAAATAATAAACATATTTATCATCTCAATTTATAGTAAGTGTTACCAGCTATTGATTACTTTTAAAAGCACAATTCATTTATTATTTTTGTTCATCCATTACTCTAAAAGTCTAAACCAAAGATACCTAACTGGTATTTTCGAATAGGCACGCGTATATGCGCCTGCGATAAAATATTCGTAATATCGTAATGGTTTTTCAAGCTGGCGAGGACTGCACTGCGAAGGTAGAGGACACTGGCAATACGGTTACAAATCCCGAAGAGGAGAGAAAGAATTTACGTGCTCTGATTGGTCTCGAATTAGTGGTGGACTATGTGAAAGAGCCAAAGGATGACTCATCGACCGAGCAAACGTCACAAGTAACGGAATAACTTACTTCCTAACGAATTTGCGATTTGCAAAGGGATGCGCGCGCCTTCCACTTTAATCACTAAAATAGTCGTATAGTGTCGTTATTTTCTCGTGTAACACCTTCGAAACTGCACTCGCGATGCTACGGCATTCTTTCGCCGTAATATAAAAATATAGTATGAATACCTCAGAGGCAAGATAGGATTTGCCGGAATATGTGCAATAAGATCCGAGGAAGATTGAACCTATATCAGTGAAATATATGTCGCACGTTCGCAACGTGTGATACATTCGTAAAGTGTGACAATTCGAAAGATATATATACATATATATGATTCTCTTTAAATATTGTTTTATTATTTTTGCAAAAAATATATTTCTTTCAACGGTTTCAGAGGTTCATGTTCAAAAATATATTTGTAAACGATATATTTTTGTTACGTATACTTTTACGTATATTTTTTCTTCAATATTTTTCAAATATCACACCTAGTTGTTGCACCATTATATAGAAACGAAACTGTCTACCCTGGTTTCATACTGATTCTGTATTGTACACAATTCTCATTCGATTTTGAATAATCAAAAGCTATACGGATCAATTCATGACGTAAATTAATGGATCGTATTAAAGATCTGATCGGATCAGCTGGAATGAAATAGCTCCGATGAAATTCGACATGTGATATGTACTGTAAATATTACAATAGTATTCCGATGTATCTATATGTATCGATAGAAAGTACTCGTTGTTGTAAGTTGAACGTAATAAAAACAATGCGATTTAACTGCATAACGTTCGTTTCTTATCAATTCAAGCGTCGCGCCGCGCGTTTTCCTCGTATATGTATACGTATTATACGGATGTAGATGAATGAAAGTTTAATTTTAACGCGCGAGTTGCGCACTATCGTGATTGGCTATGACGCGAAGTTCCAAGATCAATTCGCCCTTATTGTCACCGTTCAGCTTCATCAATTTCCGGCCTCCTTGCGGAATGAGAATGACGTCATCGAAGCTGCCTCTTCTGGCAGCCGGTTCGCCGGATAATCTGTAGTACGCGACTGGTCGATTCACGTCCCTGCTCAATCCGACATACGGCTTTTCCGGTGTGAGAGTGTATACCTGGTCAAGATAAATATTAAATATACATATACAATATATCTGTATGTATTTAATATTATATGTATATAGGATTTAATTCACATGTAAGAATCTCTCACCAGGGTTAGAAACTACGTCACTTTATAAAAGTAACGCATTTATAACGCAGTTACCCCATTACTTACATTATTAGAAAGTGTGAAATGATTTGTTATTTTTTTCATTACTTTTTAATGTTAAAGAGTAAGATATTAAATTTACAATATTAATTTTTACAATTAATAATCCATATTTTGTTAGTTATACAATCAAGCTTTCATTACACGTGTTGTTGTTTTTATAAACATTAACGTTGTTATCAAGAGTGCATACAGTATATTTACTGCTAGTACTGCAAATTTATATAGTTTACGTTACACGTGTATGTAAGCATAACAAATTTTCAGTATTGACAACGACTGCAATCGGAATGCAATCTAAGGTAAAAAGTATATAATATTTTTTTATAACATTTAAATTTTTATTAAAACAAAATATTTCTATTAAATCAAAAATAATATAATGTATCAAATAGATACATAGCAATATGATATAAAGATAATAGAGATTTTAAGTATAACAACTGAATTCGTTACCGTTATCGTTACAGACGGAAAAAAAAATACACAATCGTTATCGAAAAAAATAACGGTAGCGGCGTTCCTTTTCTAGAAATCACGAAAAAGATACGAAAAATTAATTAATTAATTTTCGTATACTTGAGACTTTGTGCAGACCTTGGCATATTCTTTTATTCGTTTTCGATTATAGAATAGCTTTCCGATTATAGAATTTCTGAACGTTTACTGACCTTTCTAGTCGTAGGTACGACATTCTCGTTCTCGAGGGAGTCCCCCGCGGAGAAAGCCAGATCCAGATCGCGAGAAGCCTGCTGTTCCATCGGATAAATCGCGTCGTTATCTCGCGTACCATCTAGATTCTCCAGGTAATAAACTCTGCCATCGGCACAGGTCGCGACAGAAAGGGCAATTACCAAGAGGATTGCCTTCTTCATATTCGACAGCAATTTTCGACCCGAAGATGCAACACGCCGAGAGTCCGCGAGGGTAATGAAACGAAAGTTTTCAGTCTGCTAAACAGGCAGATGTTAAACTCGCCAATCCGCGGATAAGACGATTATCGCCTCGTGCCGTCAATTAATTAAACATGCATGACGTTTTTACGTGGGCGGGATTAAAATGTGTTCGATGACACTTGTCGAATCTCTCTCTCTCTCTCTCTCTCTCTCTCTCTCTCTCTCTCTCTGATAAATATAATAGCTCAAACAAAATAAATATCAAGGATACATTCGATGTGCTGTTTGTTGCGCATTTTATTCTTCTTTTGCGTTTTAATGAATTACGGTAAAGATAGAATAAGAATAGCGCTGATAATGTCTACTGAAATAATTTCAAATTGAGATTGAGAAAACATACGCGCGAACGTATCTCATTTGTTATGTAGGATGCGCTAGAAAAAACAGCATCTTCAACAGGTGATGTAGCATCAATCGTTTTGAATAAATAAGAGTAATTATTCTCTCTCTCTCTCTCTCTCTCTCTCTCTCTCTCTCTCTCCCCCTCTCTCTGCAAAATATGTGTCGAAGTAGGATTTTCAAACATCCGTAATCATATAAATTCTGTAAAGTGCACGGTTTTTCTTACAAAGATTCCAATGTGCCGCTGCATGTACGTGGATCGAATCGCTGTATTGCTGTATCGTCTTCCGCTTCTTAAAGAGTCACGAGGGTGGTTACGATGAGAGATACACGCGCGTTATTGGGGCGCGACGAGAGATTAAAAACGATTTTTTTTTTTCGAGTGGATCGCTTCCATTGCGACCGGGACCGGAAGGGGGTGGTTGCATCGGTCGGACCCGGGTCCTGAATAATGCATGAAATTTGTTCCCTGGAATCGAATCGCGACGCGACGGCGGCACGACGGCATGGCACGACGGACAAGAGAGCGGGCATAAATCTAAATAATTTCAACCCTCGAATTTTTATTATTCCTATGACTACGATGGCACATGCACGCGTGCACGCACCCCCGTCCTCTAGCTCCTCTCGTGTCCCGTTGAATATGCATGCACGCCGCGTTTTGCCACACTTTGCCCGGGAGTGTTGGACCTTTGTGTGCAACTACTCCTCGACTCCTCCCCGCGCTGCCTATGTCTTGCATCGACTCGCATCGCACAGCCTACCGACATACAAAGTACAAACTCGTTAGCATTGCCGTTACATCTCGCAGACAAGAGCGTAATGTCACGAGGGGTTTATCAAGTCTGCCGCTATTCATTCTATATCAGTGTTTTGCCGGATTTCAAATGCATTTTAAAACGTGTAATGTCATGAGTCGTGCAGGGTGAGGAACATGTAAAGATACATGTATATACATCATACGTTTCTAGGTATAAAAAATACCCAGCGTCTCGTACGGAAAAAAAACCTCTTACTCTGTTCATAAGAAATTTTAAATTAGGAGTAATGATGGAGTACGAATGGAACTTTTGTCACTCCCTTCCCCCCCCTCCCTCCTCTCTTCAACATTCACCAACATCATGCATGATTATCGTAAGATTTCCTTTTCAATGTAATACTGGCGAATACCATTGAAAGCAGCTTTAAAGCAGCGCGACGCCGCTGCTTTACATCTATCTTACATCCACGTCTAAAGGAAAATGTAATAACTGAATTTTTGAACGGAGAAGTTAGTCATTACTCACTCGCGACGGATCGCGATAAATCACAGAAGGAATTAACGAGCGGCGAAGATGACACTTGGTCCCCTCCTCGTCTCGTCTCGTCCTTTTCCTTCGTTTCCATCGTTTCCAGCCCCTCCGCACCGGTGAAATATGGCCAGCAACTTTTCTCATACTTGAGAGTTTTCCTGAGCGCGGCGCGTTTCCCACCGCCGTACCGTACGATATCGTTCCGAAGAACGACGAGATGAGAGAGAAGACGAGGATGAGAGCAGGGGAGAGGGAAGTTATCAAGTGTTGGCCGGATGAGTGCTATAAGGTAACACTGCGTGGCGAGGGGAAGAAAGGAACGATACACCTCTTCGACTAATGTTGCAACTTGCAAGTATAAAGAGAACGATCAAGAGGACTTTTCTTTTACATATATCGTCATCTTCCTTTGCGATTGTCTCACATTCAAAAATTATTATTCTTATCGGTATATATGATCAACGTGCATGCGTAAAAATTATTATACATATCAATATGTCTCTCTACAATTATGATAGAGATAACTAAAAAAGAATTTTTGAAAATAATTTTTAAATTCTCAAAATTCTAATATAAATTATTAAGAATATTTTATTTTAGTAAGGAAAATAATCTGCTATATAGAATAAAGTAGGTATCAATTTTGTAAATTTTTATTTCTTCATAATACTGCGCGTTTCGATATTTTCAACTATTCTTACTCTAACTGTAAGACATACGTCTCGCATAACAATTTTATTTAAAACTATGATACAGCATTCCTACTATTTAATTTACATGGCTAATCTTTACAGTCTCTATCAAGATCTTTTCTCTGAACAATTTAATATGTTCAACGGTTTATATCATATTTGGTTATTTACAGAAATGTGTACGGTCGATCAAGTCGATCCGAAACGATGGCGCATGTATTGTATTTGATGTTTAATATTAATGAAATAAAATTAAATGCCATTCGGGCACTTATTTGACAAATCTTAAATCGGTCGGGTCGAATTATCTAAATTAAATCGAGATAATACATTTAAGAAGGGAGAAAATTCATACGCGTATGCATACGTATACGCGTGAGCGACTGAAAGAATACTCAATGATATTTGCATTCCGTCGATTTCAATTACAAATTTCTTCTAATCGCGCGGAGACGAAACTGTATGCAACAAATGGTAGAAAATAGCAGTCCCTTCGCGAACGCGCGAATTCTATGAGTATTTTGGCAGTTCAAATTTCGACGAAACGAAACAAAGGTACCTGCCTTTTATTTGACTTTCGCGGCAATTTTCTTACAAATTTCATTGGTATACTCGCTGCACTTTGCAGTGCCGCCTAAATCACCAGTTAGATACTTTGCTTCCTTGATAGTGTCGTAAGCAGAGTGTTCGATGATCTTGGCATGGTTACTCAGGCCCATGTATTTGAGCATCATCACCGCGGAGAGCAACAACGCTGTGGGGTTTGCCTTATCTTGGCCGGCAATATCGGGTGCAGTTCCATGTACCTGTGTTAATAAAATTGATCATCTCGTAAAGTGAAATTAATATATACAGAGAGTTACTTCAAACTTCAATTTAAAATTTCGTCTTCACGCATTCACGAAATGAATGGCTATACCGATTCAAACAAGGCTCCGTTCAGACCAATGTTTCCGCTTGGTGTCAAACCGAGACCTCCGACGAGTCCAGCGCACATATCAGATAAAATATCACCGTACAAGTTAGGCATGACGAGCACGTCGTACTGACTCGGATCTTGCACCATGTTTAGGCAAACTGTATCCAAGTACCTCTCCTCGAATTTGACCGATGGAAACTTTTGGGCTGCTTCTCGACAACATCTCAAGAACAAGCCATCCGACATTCTCATAATATTTGCTTTATGTACAGCAGTAACCTATATATAAATTTTAGTCAGTCTGATCTGATCAAATATTTACTCATGTTATCGTTTGATGATAATACTTTGAGTGTACCTTTTTTCTATTATTGTCTGTAGCATATTGAAAAGCAAATTCTGCTACTCTACGAGAGGCCTCCTCCGTGATTAACTTGATGGACTGAACGACGCCTTCTACAATTTCATGTTCTATACCAGAGTATTCACCTTCTGTATTTTCTCTGATAGTAACGACGTCGACATTATCGTACAATGTCTTGTATCCCTCCAAAGATCGGCATGGTCGCACATTGGCATATAAATTAAATTCTCTGCAAATATTTGTAAACGGATAAATGAGATACGATGTGTGTATTTTACTTTCAAAGAGAAGCAAGTGGTAAGATATATATTTAGAACAATTGTATTCGTCTTATCGTGATATTACGAATATTACGATTATGTAAGCATGCATGCATTATTTTTTGGACAACTATTTTAAAAATTCAACTGATATATACTCACGTATCTCGTGGAATTAATTTGACTTACACATATATATGTATATACTTGATTGTACATAAATTTTGGGATGCTTACTTTCTGAGTGCAAGATTGAGAGATCTGTGACCTTTTCCAATTGGAGTCATCAGAGGTCCCTTAAGGCCAATTTTATTCCTATTGACGGAATCAATGGCTGCTTGTGGTATACCAAACTTGCCATCTGGACCTTTTACTGGCGTTACATCAACTGATTCCCATTCTATTGGCACCTGATTTTTTTTTCAGACAAATTAAGAAAACAATTATTGTAAAAAATAAAAACAAGTAGGTATAGCAAGTACATTGAAATAAAACGCATAGTATGCATTAGGATATTGAAATAAAAATGCATACATCTATATCAATAACATATCCAGACAAGAGTATCAAGTGCATGCATATTATTAAAAGAGATTATAAATTGAGTAATCATATTATGCAAGCTACTAAACCTCTGATTATAATAAATTAATCAGTGATAAAAAAAAGAAAATCAGTGTTTTTAATCAAGAGAAAATATATCTTCTTCTAATTATTCAAGTCGGATCAAGACATGAAAACAAAAACCTAGTTCTAAATACAGAACCATTTAACACCAAGTAAGGAATCAGTCAATCTTGCTGCATTAGTCAAAAACGTAAATATATCTTACCTTGGCGGCATCGAAGATTTTTTGTACGGCAGTGGAAATCTCGGGTCCAATGCCATCTCCAGGAATAAGGGTGCATTTGTGTACCTTGCTGCTATAAAGTCGTGCACCAGTGATTTTTGAAGAGATCTATTGGCACACGTCAACATATGGTTTAAATAGGTGATCGAAAACAGTACAACTCCGGCAAGACTAATTCTCTATGCCACGAGTAAGGAATGATCTTTATTTATGTCAACCTAATAATAATTATTTCAAAAAGACTCGCCGAAATTATACCGATAAAAATATAATACCCAGTTTCCCAATGTGTAAAGGAGAGAATCATCAAAGTGGAAAACGGAGAGCCAGACGGAATTAGAACATTAAACTATATCATAGAGGAACAGTAACGGAGATAGATGCATGTGTGGAAAGAGAGAGAGAGAGAGGATATGCGTAGGAGACGTAAGAGCAAAGACGACATGGAGGACAATGTGCAATGTGAGGAGTTCTAACCTTTCTCAGGGGTAGGAGAATGTACTACAGGAGTGCGGAGCAGTTACGCACGGCAGCAGTCCCTTGGAAAATTTCGCAAACAATGCGACTCGTCGTCCCTACTTACTGCTGTACGAATCCACTGAGCTGCCATCACGTCGACGGTGTGATCGATGCGAACAGATATATGGCTTACGTTCGCTGGCTCGCTCGCGCAACTCGCTCTGTTCGCACAGAGCTCGCGTCTGCTCGCGTTTGCTCGCGTCTACTTGCGTCTTGTGTCGTCGCGTCGCGCGCAGTCTCTTAGTCTCTACAATCTCTAGTCTCTACATAATCCGAGATACGTATCGTGTCATGTCCTGCGATGTGATTGGCTGCGAGTGCGATAATAGTACTTTCCCGTACCATACTTTTCGTATTTCCATTTTCCCGCTACAACGGGATGCTTCGTGCTCTTTGAATTTATGGCTTCTGCATCTGTGATCTGCACACTGCTGCACACTGGTGACCAGACAGTGAATGTCTGCTAGTGTCGCTAAATATTTTTTCGCCAAGAGTAGCCGAATATGTATACAGCACTCAAGTTAAGGTCCACAGTCAACAATATATAAGATATATAATACACATTAACAGTATGCGTACTTATACAGTATTTATACGATAAAAAATTACAAATTTAATAATGTATTATCGAATTATTTACGTTAATAATCGCAAATCTTTAATTATCTTATTAAGATTTCTTATAAATATATTAACATTGCAACTTATCTAAAATCATACTCTACAGTGTATTCCAGTATAATCTGCAATTTCTGATAGATATCGAAATCTCAATATTTGTTCCTGTTTCTAAGATTTCTTCATGCGCAGCCCCTAAAATGATACCTCTGGATAGCATGGCATTCGGATGAGAATCTAAATACAGTTCTGTCTTAGGATAGTGATTGAAAATAAAAGGATAATAACAGGATGCTAGAATGGCAATGTAGATAAAGACGATTGAATCTTATATCTTTAATAAAAATATTGATTAAAGCAATAAACATTAAATTATTTAAATAAAAACATAGAAAATGCATGTAGGAAATAAATTTTATATAAATTTATATATAAATAATAGAACTTGTAATATTTATTATGTAGGTGGTGACTGATCTTCACATTTATCAATTTTCTTCTCCATGCTCTTATGTTTCTTTTGTTTCGGTTCCCATAAACTGTTCCTCATAAATCTTTTAGCAGCATTTATATCAACACGTGGCATAAGTGTATTTTTATCATTGATTTGTTTCGCCCGTATCATCGCTTTTTTCAATCTCTCATTTTCTGATCTAATTCGATGCTTCGACGGATCGATTCCTACAATCAATAATAATTTAATAATCAATTTAATAACGTATGATATAAATTGGCAATTTAACTTATATCTGGAAAATTAGAATTTTTACATACCTTCGGCTTTCAAGTACATCCAAAACAGACTATTAAGACTGTAAGATAATAACAAGTTATATTTAATTTTATCTGTATTGGGAAGTTTATCGAATAGCGAAGGATCGCCAACCAATTCTATTATATCCTGGATTTTGAAGGCTGCTTCACTGAACTGCTTCAGTCTAGCGATTATGTTTACATCGTGCGAAAGTTCTTCAAAATCAGCATCCATTTCTTTCGTCAATCAATTTATTTTTCAAGTGACGAGTAATGTTTTGTCCTTTCGCTTCACTACTAGTTACATAACCTCAATTTTTATCCAATTTCACCGTCTTCGTTTTTTACTTCTACTAAAATAAACACAATAATTTTTTTTCCATTATCTCCTTCAAGATTTTTCAATATAGATATCCATTCTTTTCCATACACACAATATATACATACATAATTTTCTTCAATATTACTCTCGTCTGACTTTCATTTGTCACACTCTCCTTTAACTGCCTTTAACCTTTTCTCTTGCATTCCAACTGAACATAACCTAAAATAAATGGTTAGGAAAGAATCCGTCTTTATTTTTTATATAATTAATTATTTTAATATAAGTACACATATACAACTTTATTACATATCTGTATTATAAATTGTATTAACAATCATTTTAAATAATCTATCATCACACATTAAATCAAATGTTTATTTTTCATATATTCTTTTTTATATAAAATCGAAATTCATTTACAAGCTAGCTGCTAGAGAATTAAGAGAGAGAGAGAGAGAGAAAAGAGTACAAATTAATAATAGAGGAAAATTGCCATTTTATTTCTCTCTTCTAACAATGATTAAAGTCCCTGGTGAAAATTTTTCTCAGAATTTTTCATATAATTTTTTAGAATTTCTATATAATTTTTTAGAATTTCTCTATAATTTTATAACTTTCTCACATTTTTTTATACGAATTGGAACATTTCTCAGAAAATCTACATCTTTTCTCAGAATTTTTCATATATGTTAATTATGAAATATCGTAAGATTTTTAAGATTTTTTTTATAAGTATAATTTCTGATGAAATGTTACAAAATCTAAAAAAATTTAAAAATACTTTTTAAAAATTATGGGATGAGAAATTTCAAAATATTTCAGAATTCACTTGTATGAGAAGTTCTGAGAGAAAATGTAAACTTTCTGAATATTTCTAAATATTTTTGAAAAATGTTCCATTCGTATAAAAATTATAAGAAAAATTTTCACCAGAAAGCGATTTGCATGCAAAAATTGCACCATTAGAAATTATACATCACAGAATCAAGGTACGATGTACAATCGTTCTATAATTGCATGCACGGCATTCTATATGTATGTAAGGTATGTATGTTCATGTATATGTTGAAATGGCTCGCTCACACACAAACACAAACACACACACACATACACGATTGATCAGGATCACGACGTTGCAAGAGTTCAGGCCCACAGAGTGCAGACTGTTGCAGACGGAGATCGAAACGGACGCACTCTTCTCACCCGGCCTATTTTACGATTCTTTGAGGTTTAAATTTAGCATTCGTTCTCTCGTCCCCCCATGAATATCGAGCGGATAAATTCAATGGTGTATATATGTACAGAAAAGACATCGTGATTGCGCTGTGAGTTATATGTCATGTACAGCAATAATGATACATAAAGTAAAACCAACAAATCTATTATAAATCTCGCAATAAAAAATTAAAGCAAGATTCATTAATGCGCTTGTTATCAAACATAATTACAAATTTATATAATATTATCCTATGACAAGGATAACTTCTATGGGACTTTGGCACGCTATCCTATTTATAAATTGGAAAAATGCTATTATAAATTTATGTACTGTACTATTACTGTACTATTATGGGAAGAAAAAAAAGAGATTCATTAAGTAACAAGGGTCGAATCGACGTGTGTCATTAAAATGCTAAATAACTTGAAATAGATTATTTATGTGCATAGAAAAATGTGATGAGAAAGTTTGACAGGCAAATACAAAAGTATATTATATACTTTGTAGTATATAATTCGTTTCTAATGGGCAGTATTCCTGATTCCGGCAGTCCGAGCTTACACACATTGTAAGATCATTTCGACTACCATCGTATATATCTACAAATGTTATTGTACGTCGTCGCTGACTCTGGATGGAGTTTTAAGACTAACAATAAGTACCTAATACGAGACTTGAACTGATCTCAAGTAAGAGATCAGCTTCGAAATATCGCTTAATGTACAGGGTGTTCATATCGAATTGGGTGTGACGCGACGCGACAAAACTAAGGCACAAAAGAAACAACTAACGTGTTAGTTCAAAGTTCAAACTTGCGTTTCGCTACCGGAATGATAATGTTTCCGGTGTTTCCGATGCTTCTTATTCTTATGGTTCCTATGTGGCAATTGCGAATTGGTTAACGTTGAATGCTGATGCAATAGAGGATGCTGCGGCGGCGTTAGATGAGCGAGATGGTGAATCTGATGAGGTATAGGATTGGCAGCGTTATATTGGCAGGTGTGTACAAGGGGGACGGGATGGCATTTATGCGGAGGTTGTTTGCAGTGCGGCAGCTTGCGGCAAGCATTCGGTACTTCCGGCCACCAGATCCACGCGGCGGCCATCACACCGGCACCGAGGGTCACTACTAATCGTAGGATGAAAACTTGCAACAGAGGACGAGCAGGTACGCGAGGTGCCGTTGACGGTTCCGGTGCTCGGAGCCACGTTTCTCTTCCCCACCATTCATAGAAAGTCGTGCTGGCGAGGCAAATGATCAGGATGGCGTAGAGGCAACCGAATATGCCGACGCGAGTCAATAACTGCTTTTGTCGCCGGTGAATTTCTCCTGGGGATGATTTGCCGGAGATTTCACTTCGCTGCGAACGCAATGGATTCGCGTGGGACGCCGTTAGCGCCGTTAAAACTGCCGCTGCCGCTGCCGCCGCTGCCGTCGATGAAGACGACGATGTTGTCGACATCGACGTCGACGTCGGCGTCACCGTCGGGCGCCGCGGTAATACCAATGTTGCCAAGCCAATTAAAAGGAACGTTGCCCCGAACGACAGATAGACGAATTGCGGCGCCAGCACTAATACCAGAAGGGAATGCGCGTTCTGCTGACCGACGAAACAACTTGCTGCAACAGATAAATCAAAATTAATATCTTTGTGACACTCGCTGCGAATAAGTGTCTTTACGTATATTATATATGTACAATATAATACTACGTACTGATATACGTACGATGTCTCGCCGAACGAAGAAGAGAATCAAATACAAAATTAAGACACATACATATAGCTTTGATTTAGAATTGCAATTGCGGAATGTTTCGTTATTTAATTTAATTGTTGTACGATATAATACAAACGTTTGCGTTTATACGTGTAAAGAAGGTACTTAAAGTAAGTACTCCAAAGTAAGATGATCTTAAATGTAAGAATTAAGAATCGACTATGAATACCGGCCTAATAATAGAAAAGACACTGACATTTTCTTTCATGTGCACATAAAGGCTTCAAGTACTCTTTTGATTCAAATAACTTTTGGTTCTATATCGATGGACAAGTGACAAGTTGCGAGGCAAGTTTCATTTACGTTGTGAATGTTGCCTGCAGCTAGAAGAGAAACAAACAAAGTAACTTACGACTACTCGAGCTCGTTTTTTTGGATGTACGCGCGAATAACTTGGTAACTTGTCGAAATACAGTCAGTAAATTGACTTGACTGAATATTAAGAAAGTACGTAGATTACGAGACAAATGTTCCTTTCGTGAATTGCGGGCATTCGTATAGATATTGCGCATCTTCAGATGTTGCCCGAAACAAGTATAATCGTTTAAATCTTTAAATAATTTTTTTCAAGCGCATACTCCGATTTAATAATTCACGTAGAGAACGTGAGAGCGTGAAGAATTTTGGTCCTATACTTCTCACGTGCTCTGGGAAAATTTTTTTTATTTCGCGAGGGAGAATGCAACCTGCAGATCCCGATATATATATATATATATATATGTGTGTGTGTACTGACGGAACGCATCGCTGACATTCCTTCCGCGATCCACGAATTAGCTGGATCGACCTAATTTCATTTTTTTTTCTCTCTCCTGCCAACGATCGGAGATTCGAAACAAAGCACAAAGGGAAATATTGAGCGCGAATCACTACGAGAAACTAAATAGATTCAAAGATAATTATATTTCCTAATATTTTTCAGTATAAAGTTAATTATTCATGTATGTGTTGTACTTATTTATATTATCCGTATTTACACATTCAAGGACAAATATAATTGATGGTATGAGAATAATCGAAGGTTGTGTCGCTACGCTCCGAACCGGTCGTTTAATTCGAAGATGCTAATCTCGGCTGGTCGCTCTCGAGCATAACTTATCGAGGAACGTAAATACGAGAGAGCGCGGCGGTGCGTATTAGCATAAAATAGCCTTCTCAACTGGACCACTCGAATTAAGATCGATGAAGGGACTAGATGGCAAGGACAGGTAAAGATAAGAATAGAGAAATGAGTAGGGATAGGGTAAAAAAAAAAAGCAACGATTGGAGACTAAAGGATCCTGAGAATCCCAAATGAATTCGAGGATCCAACTTCCAACTACGCCAATGGCGCAATCTCATAAAACAAACGGTATAACGAGGCGTGGCCGTAAAACCACTCCGGGCATTCTTCTTAGAGGCTGACCAACGTGAGTTTTAATATCGTGCGCCATTGCTTGGCCCCAACCAAGCACTCCAAGCAGTAGGTGCAGTTAAAAGTACATTCGAAAAGTCAACGATGTCTTAATGAACGCGAATGAACGCGAATAAAGACTGAAAGTTGGAAAGGAAAACGTATTGGTTGCGTTGCGTTGGATCGGAATTTGATAAAATTCCTCCTGGAAATGTTCAAGTAGATGTTTAAGTAGATGTCTAACTGGGACTGGGAAGTGGGAGTAGAGTAGAGTGGGACCGAATGGGACTTACCAGTCAACTCGTCGGCGTCGACATCCCTCGTGACCAGTACGGCGATAGTATGCGCAGCGGGAAGGCTCCAGGCTGCGACTGTGGCTATGGTTGAGAATCCCTGCTGCAGTCCGAAACTATCCTCCTTGTAGTTGCCAGCCGTTCTCGTCCATTTTCTGGCCATTATGCACCACCACGCGCATATCACGACCCACCTGCGGTCCAAATCATCGAATACAACATCAAATAGGAATTTTACGCACGTTACTCGCAACAATAATTTCCCATTTATACATAACAGATTAGATCTATTATGATTTTGACAATTAAAATAATTAAAATTAAGTACGTAAAATTTGCAAGTATGCAAAAATAGCAGAGACTGCAAAGTCTGTTGATGGACATGGAATTGTCAATCATCACGTCCCAAAAGCTTCTTCGAATCGATTGTACGATCCTGCGAGTTTGCAACTCGAGTAAATAAAAAGAGGAAGGAAGGAAGGAAGGAAGGAAGGAAGGAAGGAAGGAAGGAAGGAAAGAAAGAAGGAAGGAAGGAAGGAAGGAAGGAAAGAAGGAAGGAAGGAAGAAAGGAAGGAAGAAGTCGAGAGAGCGGCTATAGGCTACTATAAAGACTATAGATGGATAAAAGGTGGAAGGTAGGACTAAGAGCACGTACAACGCGAGAGCGAGATGGAGTGACGCGCGAGGCGGCCGAGCCGAGTAAGTGTTTGCGCCTCGTTTGACCTGTTCGCGCTGCTTTTCGATCTTGTCGAAGAGAAAGAGAGAGAGAGAGAGAGAGAGAGAGAGAGAGAGAGAGAGACTCGCGTGATTAATTAGTCGGCTTTTCACCGCAACATGCAACCTCTTGGCTCTCTCGTGCTCTGTCGGCGAGCATAACTGGTTGCCAGGGAGAACGAATTACAGACAGTGTGATCTGTGTGATCTGTATGATAGTGCGATGTGGCCGCGCGCTGCACTGTGCAGTTGCACGTGCGTGCAGTGCAGGACCATGCACGACCATACACGAAGCTGCTGGACGCGTCACCGCATAGCGCTGCGT